CACGACACATTTTGCACAAAACAATATTATATATTAACTGCTCCTCCAAACTTTCAGGTTCCAAACAATTCTACTAACAATGTGGGATGCCTTTGTTGAAAGGGAATGCTCTACAATTGCACGGAATATATCTAAGAAACTAGTTATCATAGGATTCCACTTAAAAGTATCTACATTCAACAGTAATTATGTTAATGCTTTCTCACTGCAAACAAAATTTGTACTTCAGTTCACCTTTAATTGTATCATAGTGTTTCATTCCTGCAAATGAACATCACTGTCAATATCTTACCATCTTCTTTGCATACAAAATGTTTACCAGTATATGGATTTTTTTTTTGCAGGGCTGACACTATCCACAAGACTACATTCTTGTTTCTTCATTAATCATAAATTTAAAGAAGTGGATGAGATGAAATCATGGTAACTGATCCATTTCATCTATATTAATTTTATACAATCCCTGTAATAAGGCACGTCTCCAACATTACAATTTCTTTACCTGTACAGTGTTGAATTGCATTACTAATTTTCAAGTTTAAACATTACCTTCCACATCCTGTAAACAACATTCATATATCATACTAGTTTTATTTTACTTACCTTTGACTTTCACATCCTGTAAATCACATTCACATGCGAGATTAATTTTTTTTGCCTACCTTATCTCATCCTATGCCTTGTTCTACTAAGCAAACATCACAGTTCATGCTTTCTGTTACAAAATAGCGCACACAACCTATTACCTGAAATGTGCTGCAATACTTACTATTTTCTTTTATCTCTTACTCATAATTCTTGTCGTAAACGGCTGTCGAGAATAGTGGAAAATTCGATAAAATCACTGCAATAAAAAGCTATCCTTTATTAAGTCCTTCAAAGATGTCACCTCCAGTTGCAAACAGACTTACTAAAATTCTCGAAATTCAGTCTTCAGTTCTCACAGTAATGTTTTTATTCTTATGTTACAAATTCATTTTATTATTTTTTTTACATCAATATGATCATACAGCTTCACTAAACTTTCCTTCATGTACTTTCAAACAACAAATATTTTTGGTTAAAAGCAAAGGTACACGTTCAATCTAAAAACACAAGCTTCTATACCTGTCATGCAACAACTGCAACAAAGTTTCCAATGCCAACAAAGCAGGAGAAATCTACTCCTGTAGATTTTGCAAATCTACCAGCTCAATTGCATCTCCAAGGTGGACACTTCATCCTTCAACACACTACACAATAACTTGAACCACTTCATTTACTTTATTC